TCATTGAGTTTCTTTGTGTGTCTGTCATATTCTAGTTTCTTTTCGTTTTCACTTATTTGTTTCTGTATGTCTATGTTTGACTTTTTGACATCTGTTATTTGATTTTTGAGTGAACTCAAATTCATTTGACTTTGAGGGTTATAAGCTGTTCCGTCTGCAGCTCCACCATAGCCTGCCATTTTCGCTAAAAGTGCCGCTCTTAAACCCCCACTCTGTGCACCAATAACTCGGTTTAAAAGCATAGGGTTGCTTGACATTTGTTGCAACATAGTGGGGTCATTCATCATTTGTTGTTGCAACTGTTGTTGTGGTGTCAGTTTTACTATTGGATGTTTCAATGCTCTCTTCCTCTTACGTATATTCTTACGTAGCTTACGTGGCATTTTAAGTGAAGTTAAAAAGCGGTTTTGACAGATGTTTATATGACACTTTTTGTTCAGCACAAAAAACTACTCGGTCAAAGTGTTGTCAGTTTTGTAAAATAACCGTCCTATCTCATTCTATAAGGGGAAAAAGGCTTCTCAAAGTATACTTCCTTGGAACGCCTGTAACTTTTCCTGTAGCGACGATAGACCCTTACTTGTCCGGACAAAGTTATACTATTTTGAGTGCTCTACAAAAAAGTCAACGGCTGGCTCGTCCTCAGAAATTTTTTATGGGCTAGAGGGCGCAACGCGCCTGGAAGCCCTCCGAATAAAAACTTCATTTATACTAAACATCTTCGGGCTAGAGGACGCAACGCGCCTGGAAGCCCCACTACCTTTTTTTTATTGAGATATTAAATTGTAGTGCGGCAACCAAACTTTGTTGAAATAATCAATATAATCTTTGATCGAATCAACTTTATTTTGATTAATTATATGCATTGTAAGTACAAATTCTTCATGAGACATGAATGGAGTAATAGAATATAGCTTAAATAAAGAATTTTGTAAAGTATTGAAATTTTTTGTATAAAGTGCTACAAGTTTCCTGTGTAAAGCTTGTTTGAAATGAAATAGGCACCCAATTATACGGACTTTAGGGAAAATTTGTTGAAGTGCCTCTATCATTCCCTTTTCAAAATCACAATGAATTTGAATTAGCTTTGAAAATTGAATACCCTTGACAGTAAAAATATATTCAAATGCCTTCTTATAAGATTCAAATGTGCGGTTTTTCATGAATATAAATAATGTAATAAACAGAAATTCATCAAAAGTGACAGCTCTCAATTTTTTGACATTTGTAAATTCTAAATTGAATGAGAAAAATGAAATAATACTAAGCATAATACAATATTCTAGATTTAATTATAATTAGGAAAAAGTTAGTTTTGAGAGTACTTTTCATAGGCATATATAATGAAATCTTCTGAAAAATAATATCACATAAACTCATATTATTTTCTAATATATAACTATTTTATATAAAAATCAAATTCAATGATCTTAAAAGCGAAGGATAAACCTCAAAATTTACGAATATAATGAGTGGGAATATAATGCTTATCTATCATAAAACCATATGAAATATCAATTTTTGCTTTACGCCTAATTTTTGACGACAATTAGCAAAAAATGTTAAATGTTAACACTCAGTCCATTTGAATATGAAAAATAAAATTGACTTTGATTAAATGTTTTTATTTATCATGCAATTCTTCTTGCGACCAAAGATTTGAATAAAAGTTCAAAAAATAAGATAGCTTAAAAAATAATATACGGTAGTGTTTACTAATAGATGAATAGTATATAAATTCTATTAAAATGGATTTGATCCAAAAAAATATAAAACCAAAAATAATTGTTATAATTTAAATGAAGAAGTAATTTAAAACGATTTTATTTATGATCAAATTTTATATATTTTTTTGGATCAAATCCATTTTAATAGAATTTATATACTATTCATCTA